GCCATCTGTGGCTCCATCCCAGCTGCATTTTGTGTTATTCCCATTGTACTCCTCTCCATCTCTCCGGGCTGGCTCCCACTGGGATACGGGAGCTTCCAGCAGCCAGGATCACGGATAAGCCATTCCCACACCACCCCAGGGATCCGGGTGCTGGCAGAGTTTTGGAGCAGCCAGGAGATTTTGCCCTTTGCACCAGAAAAGATGGGAAATTCCATCACCCTGCTATGGAACCGAACTCTTCCCGAGGCCAAAGGGGAAACGGGAACTCGTTTGGGGGAAAGCAAAGCCACAACTCCAAATCCATCGTTGTCCCCCTGTCTGGGATACTTGGATTTCAACTGCCACCTTCCAGAGGGGAAAAACCCCTGGGAAGTGGCTGGAGAACTCACCAGCAGCTGGAATTTTTCATATCCAGCTTAAATGGGTGGAGAAGGACGGGGGCAGTGACTGCAGCTGGAATTCAGCAGCTGGAGGCAGCTGGGACGTCTGGGCTGGGACACTCACTGCAAGGGGATGGAATTCCATGAAAACTGCTTGCTGGCTGGAGGAGCTGCTACAAGTGACCACAAACATGCCAGAAGTGGAGTTTTCCCTTTCTCCAGCCTCTGGAGGAGCTGCTACAAATGATCCCAAAAATGCTGGGAATATTTTCCCTTTCTCCATTCCCTGTGTCAGGCTCAGCGTCCCTTTATTTCTGCAGGATGGCTGAATCCCTATGTCCAGCCCTAAGCAGGATTTTATGGAATCATGGAAAGGTTTGGGTTGGAATGGAATTTAGGGATCGCCTCATTGGGACGGAGACACCTTCCACTACCCCAGGCTGCTCCAAGCCCCGTTCAACCCAGCTTGGGATGAGGAGTGGGGAATTCCCCAGCACAGTCAGAGGTTGTCTGATCTCCCTGTTGTGATTCCATGTTTTTTTGTTTTTTTTTTTTTCCCAAACTCCATTCCCATTCCAGCGCACTGCAGCCGCCCCAAGGCCGTGGCCAACGCTCGCATCGAGGCTGGGGAACGCGCGGAGCTCAATTCCCGCCTGCGCTACTCCTGCAACCCCGGATACAAACGGAAAGCCGGGACCTCCAGCCTCATCCAGTGCATCCTCTGGAACGGCTCCGAGCCCCGCTGGACCGACCCCACGCTCCAGTGCATCCGTGAGTGCTCAGCGGGAATCCGCGACGCCTCCGGAACCGGACGGGGGGGAAGAAACGCGAGCGCCAGCCGCGTTCGGTTCCTTCCAAAAGAATCGGAAACGGGAGAATTACGTGGGGGAGTTTAACCCGTGGAATTCCTAATGGATCGTGAGTTGTCCGTGGGTTGGAAAACAAAAGTTTAGGGCCTCGTATCCTTCAGTGTTCCCTGACCCAGGGGAGGAATTTATTGTTGAGGATGGAACGCCAGGAATGTGGAATTTATAAACCACTGAGATTTTGCATGAACCAGAGGTGCCCAATCTGGGAAAACATAATTAATAAGGCTGAAAATATGGATTAATTAGGATAATTAAAAAGAGACAAGTTATTAATCAATAGAAGACAGAATGGTAATTAATAACTTGAAGCCAGACAACGTAATTCGGTTTTTTTGCTAAAATGCAAAAATTGTTAGAATTTGACAACGAACATCCATTTTTTGGAATTTGTGGAATTTCCCCCAGACCTCAACGCTGGATAAAATAATTTTGACTCTCTAATTTTCCAAACCACTTAAGAGAGTTCATTTCCCAGCTGATGGCGTCTCCCTGTTGTGTTTTCCCAAAGGAGATCCGGCTCTTTCCTGGGAAACTCCCGGTCCGGAGAGCACAACCCCGAGAGGTGAGGAACAGGATTGGGGTTGGCTTTGGAGCTGCCACAGCTCCCAGGGTGTGGAAACCACAAAACATTCCCATGCTGGGATCAGATTCACCCCATGGGGTGACATCCCAGCCTTCCGTAGCTGTTGGAGGAGGGCACGGAAATAACGGCGCCGCCTCTCGATTTTGGGAATTTCGACCTTTCCCACTCTTTTCCCAGCAGGTGCCACCGGTGCCAGCCCGAATTCCAGCCCCTCTCCAGCTTCCAGTCAGTCAGCACCTGATGGGCCGTCACCGGACGGATCCAGGCCACCGGAGATGATTCCAACACCGGACACACCCACGCTGGGAGAGGGGACAACCCCGCTGCCCATCCCGCCCACGGATTATGCCCCAGGTTGGGCTGATTCCCAAGGGAATACAAACCACCCACAAAGGCTCTTCTGCTTTCCCAATGGAATTCTTCCTTCTCTCCAACCTCCCTTTCAGTGAGGTTCCTCCCAGCATCCATCCCTTTCCTACCTCTCCGGCTCAAAATTTCTTTTCTTTCCTCTTTTCCAGTTTCCATCCAGTCCGTGGCCTATTCTGTTGGTAAGCTGGGGAAAAAAAAAAAAATTATTTGGGAATAAGGGGCTTATTTTAATTGTTTTAAGTTTCAAATCCCTTCTGGGGGCTGTGGGAGCTTTATTCCATGGCCAATGGGAATGCCACTGAGTGGGGGAGGGATTTAGCACCCAAATTTCCTCCTGGAAAGAATAATTCCCAATTCCCTTCCTCCGGGGGTGGGATGGGCACCTTGTGATGGTGCCCAGAGTGGTTTTGGCTCCTTATGGAGATATTTTGGTGGCTATTTGGTGGATGCTCCTCACCCTGAGTGTCCATCCCTCAGGACTCCTGGTGCTGCTGGCCATTGGAATCGTGGCTGTCTGCTGCTGGAGGAGGAGGAAGTAAGTGCCAAACCCCAGGAATGTTTTCCAAAGCTTCTGTGCTTTCCAAAGAAAAGCCTCGGAATGCCACTGGTGCTCCTCTTCCCTGCACAGGCGCACCAGGCAGGGCTACATGGAGACAGAGAGGGACATTCCCATGGAGCCTCATCCTTCTGGGAATGAGGAGGTGGCACCTCCTGCCATTGTCCCCACGGGCTGAGCGCCCACCCTGGGGACACTGGGCGCACCCACCATCCCGAGGGATGCCGGAGGATGGAATTCTGGATGCTTCCCCGAGGAGCAGCCAGGGATGCATGGCTGCTCTTCCCAGCCTGAACATGGAGGATTCCCATGGATGATCCCAAAGGTGGGTGGGTGTCTTGCACTGGGAGCTGGGATTTGATGGAATTGGTCCTGGGGATGCTGGCGGTGGGTAGGGAGAGGGTTGGGATGTTGGGATGGGGTTTGGGATGAAGCTGAGCTGCCCTGCCCCAGGGAATTCCCATTCCCTGGATATTCCATGGATAGAGTTGGTTTAGCTGGATACTTGTCCCATCCCTTTCCCAGCTTTGTTCCCAGAAAATGGATGGAGAGGGACCCAGCCAAGCATTTTCCCATATCCTCATCCCTTTCCCGGCTTTGTCCCAAATCCCAGAAAATGGACAGAGAGGGATCCAATTTCCCCACATCCTCATCCCTTACCCGGCTTTGTCCCAAATCCCAGAAAATGGACGGAGAGGGCACCAATTTCCCCACATCCTCATCCCTTTCCCAGCTTTGTCCCAAATCCCAGAAAATGGATGGAGAGGGATCCAATTTCCCCACATCCTCATCCCTTTCCCAGCTTTGTCCCAAATCCCAGAAAATGGACGGAGAGGGATCTCATTTCCCCACATCCTCATCCCTTACCCGGCTTTGTCCCAAATCCCAGAAAATGGACGGAGAGGGACCCAATTTCCCACATCCTCATCCCTTTCCTGCTCTCTTCCAGCCACTGGGCCAGAGCCAAAGGTGTTGGGATCATCCCACCCCACACACAGCTCAGGGATCCTTTGGAAGCACTTCCAGCACCGATCCCGGCTCTGGATCCCGATCCCCAGCGGCTCACGGGGAATCCAAGCTGGAGCAGTCTCACCAAGGACCAAATAACACAATTCAGGGAATATTTTCCTTTGTGTGTTTTTCCTTTATCCATCAGCAGTTTTTAGCCACTTGAGTTTCCTTATCCAGGTTTTATCCACCTGTTTTCTTATCCAGGTTTTATCCACTTGTTTGCTTACACTCTGGAAAAGGTAGCTATTTATTTTTATGTATAAATAAATATATTTTATATAGAAAATAACAGAGCAGTGGATTCTTTAACTGGATGTCTCAGCTGGGAAGGACTGGATTGGGATGAATCCATCCCCACAGCACCAAGGACATTCTCATCGGACACCACGCAAGTGAAGGGTTCATTCCCATCCTCAAAAAGCTTGGGAAGCAGGAGGGATCCAACAGCTGAAATTCCACGGTTTTTCCTTGCTGTTCTTGCCCTGTTTGTGCCTCTGATCCCGGGATGCGTGACAGGCACAGCACTGGGCACATCCCTGCTCCCAAGGAATTTGGGATGCTCGGGAAGCAGGAGAGGCTGGATGGGAGCACTGGAGGTGCCTGACCCAATGCCCACTCCAGGCTTTGTGCTTCCATCCAGATCCAAGGGCTTGAGGGAATTCCTGCCCACCATGGGAACGCATTCCCGGATCGCCTTTGGTATTGAAAGGAGAGGGAGGGAAGCAGCTCCATGAATGGAAAAAACCAGGATGTCTGAGATTCCTGCAGCAGGCACAGCCCACAGCTCCAGCCCGTGTCCAAGGGCAGATTCCTAAAACCACTTTCAGTTTTGATTTCCCATGGCACAGCCTCTGGAATTGTGGCACAGCGCACTGAGAGCGTGATCCACCTGGGCATTCCTGGGAAATGAAGGGTATTTAAGGGCAGGGAAGAGACATAAAGGAAGTGTTAAGGCTTTCTTTGGCTATGCATTTAATTTTAGGATTGGAAATCCCTCTCCAGTTTGTCCCTGAGTTTGGCTGGAACCAATCCAAAGGAATTTTTCTGCCGCTACCTTATTTCTTCCTTCCTGGTTGGCTGCAGGGAGAAGGGGAAGAATCCAAGGAAACCCCTCAGCTGCAAGGATAGAAAATCAATTCACTGGGAGAGAGTCATGATTTCCTCCCACGGCTGGACAGGAACAGTTCATTTACAAGAAATAAATTTTCTTTGGATACTTTCCAGCGTTGTGTTTCCTCTTTTTCCAGTGGATCAGAGGGATTTCCAGGAATGATGAAATATTCAGGAATATCCCCCCTGGTGACAGGGGGAAGAGAGGGAATGTTCCAAAATTAACCCTGTTCTGTCTGATCCATTCCTAAAGTGCAGATTCCTCTGGATATCCCACTCCCAGCTCCTGGAAGATGAGGCAGAGCTAGAGGAAAGGCATCACATCATCACCAGGGAGCCTGGAAGTTCCTCTGGAGCTGGGAACATCCTGGAATTTGGAGCTGGGCTGAAATCCTGCTCCAACATCTGCCTGGAATTTGGAGCTGGGCTGAAATCCTGTTCCAACATTCACCTGGAATTTGGAGCTGGGAACATCCTGTTCCAACATTCACCTGGAATTTGGAGCTGGGAACATCCTGTTCCAACATTCACCTGGAATTTGGAGCTGGGCTGAAATCCTGTTCCAACATTCACCTGGAATTTGGAGCTGGGAACATCCTGCTCCAACATCTGCCTGGAATTTGGATCTGGGCTGAAATCCTGCTCCAGCATTCATCTGATTTTGGAGCTGGGCTGAAATCCTGTTCCGACATCCACCCAATTTTGGAGCTGGGATGTGCCAAGAGGATTTGTGCCACATCCAGGATAGCTCTGGGAAGCTGGAGGGCTTTGTTAGAGCTGGATGGGCTCCTACTGGATTGTTGGGAAGGAGGTGAGGGGAGTCAGGGAGCCGAAGAACATCTGGGTGCAAGCCTGGCAAAGGAATCCCCCTGGATCCTGGCTGCCGTCGCTCTGTGGGAGGAAAAGAGGAGATTTCAGGGAAGAGGAAGCTGCAGGAACACAACCTCAGCTTCCCAGCTCTGCCACGGTCCAGGGAAGGGAGCCATGATGTGCCCAAAGCAAGGAAATCCCACACAGAATCATGGAATGGTTGGAAAAGGTCTTTAAGGACATTGAGTCCAACAACTCCAAGGTGAACTGATGCCTTGAGAACCTGACCTAGAGCAGAGGCTGGGCAGAGCTAAAGAATAAATCAGGGATTTATTAAAGGATCTCCTCCATGGATC